CTCCTCAAGAATTTCGGCAATTTCGTCAACCGTGTCGTAAAATTTGTCAACTCACAGCACTGTAACAATACCGTGCCAGACTGGACCGAGTACCATGAAGCTTCCTTTGATGCTTGGAAAGAAGAAGTGAACAAACTTCTCACGCGATACATACAAGAACTAGACTCTGTCAAACTTCGTGCTGGCCTGTCCACGGTCCTCCAGGTATCGCAGCTGGGAAATGCCTTTCTTCAATCAAATAAGCTTGACAATAATCTCGCTGCGAACGAACCTTCCAAATGTGCCGCCGTCGTTGGTCTAGCTATCAACATGATTCATCTTCTCGCCTCTATCGTTGCTCCGTACATGCCCGAGACAGCAAGGTCCATAAACACGCAACTCCGCATGGATCCACTTCAAATCCCCGACTATTGGAATGCGGATTCCATCAAACCTGGCCATGAAATCAACAAGGCGGAATACTTGTTCAGCCGCATCAAACCAGAGAAAGCGGAAGAATGGCGAAAACTATTTGGAAGCGAGGAGGCGAAGAAGTTTAGGGAAGAAGAGCTTGAATTGAAGACGAGGAAGAGCGCAGCCATGAAAGCGGTAAAGATTCCGAAGGAGTAAACCTATTGAAACGCCGCGCTGCATTTGGATGGACAACTTGTATTCATTTTAGGCGGGTCCTGGTTGGTTGCGGAGGATTGAGGTTGGGTGATAATCTCTGTTTTCCCTTTCCTTTAATTTTGCTTCGTTATTATCCAATTTTTTATATTTCTCTTATTTAGCTTTTGATGTCTAAGAATATTAAGAGGAGCGATAGCTGATCAATAATCACTACACTAATAAAATTGGTGGAGATGAGTAGTTGAGTCTGTCGAAGAGGTGATGAACGATGAGATGAGAACGAGGAAAGATGAATGCCGTGCACACGTGAAATATGAGTTATGTCCTAACCCTAAATGATCATCGGTGCAGAAGTGCCACATTCAACAAAGATCTCCCAGACTCTAATAGCCACGTTTGTTCTTCTACTTTCAACCAGATTTCATTACTAATCACAAGGCGACTGTTCAGCTCTAGTAGATTGTCTCTCTGGATCCTCGTCCTCGTGTTTCCTCCACATCACTCCGACTGTTGCTTCACCCATCGCTTGTTGCTTTCGCCATCACTTCACAACTGTACGAGCTGTCCACCTCATTTTTTCATCCATTAGTCACGCATCTTCAGAGCAACTACTGATAGCGCCTTCCTACAGCTGAGAGCAACCCTTGATGGCAATGTTTGACCAATCACATTCCCGATTGAAGTAGACACGAGCCGTCTTCCGAGTTGTCAATTACCTTCTTCCAACCTAGCCCATTGATAACTGCGAAATACGCACTTGAAATTGTCTAGAACGGTTGTATTGTTCATCAAGCCATGAGTGACTTAGAGTTTCAAGGTCAATGTGGAATTTTAACGTCAGAAGGAGCCACTTTATTGACGGTTACAACGAAAACACTTTATAGTAAAGAAAACTAACCACTTGCAATGAGCAGTTTTTCTGAAAATTTCCGTCCGTCCGCGAACAAGAGCACCCGCATATCTACCTTTCGATGCTTGATGCATACTTTCAAATAGTGAAACATGAAAAAAATAGGATTGAGATCAAAGCGTCTGAGTACGATTATCTTCACTGGAGGTCGGTCACAGGATCTCGCTTGTAATTATGTAAGTAATGTATGGAGTTTATCGGATGACCTGCATAACCAAGACTTGCTAATCATTTGCAGGTTGTGATTTTCAGCTGGCCGCTAGTACTATTGGTAACTACCGGTAATAACAACAGCCAAGTTTACCGGTATTATGTCTCCCAAGTCCCGAAAGACTCCTCGATATCTAGTATGAGATAATATTTCTGATAATGGTTTGTTTCCAAGAACTATTCAGCTAGTTTCTAGTATCAACAAAGTGGGGTTGCAGTAGAGTGCAAGCCTCCAACAAGCCACCAACCAACTAGCCGCCGCAGAAACAGGTTCAGCTACTAGTAATCAAAATGGCACCGATAATTCATTTTCTCAGCTGAAAGGTACCATGTAGTGGCGTACCTCTTATCCTCATAATGCGAAGCCCGCATCATTGTGGGGTGCAGTTCAGGTTTTCATCATGCTACGAGTGAATTTGGCTGAATATTGTTCCTGATGCGGTACGCCATGCATGCGGAGAGGACTTAAGATACATCATAGATATTTCTATATGCCAGGGAAAATCGGAACCTCGGCTAATATCGATATCACTACATATCTTTTACGTGCCAAACTAGGCCTGGAATTTGTATAAAGAGAGGGCCTTCAGGCCTCATTTTGAATAATACATCAAACGAACTTTGCCATATTCTTCTCAAGTATGTCTACCACTTCCAAGTACCCACCTGGCCAGGATTCCGCCGGGGATATCAATACAAAAATTGTTGTTGCTGGACCCCCGTTCAATCCCAACCCAAATGAACCCCTTCCCGTGCGAATGGAGATCCACGATCTCCTCAAGGATGCAGAACTCAAAAATCTATACATTCTAGGTATGGAGGAGATGCAAACTATGGACTGGAAGGATCGTCTTTCTTGGTATCAATTGGCCGGAATTCACGGCGGGCCTTATGAGGCATGGGATAGAGAAACCGACAAAAGTGGAGAGAGACGTGGGCGTTATTGCACCCATTCCAGCAAGCTATTTATCTCTTGGTAAATACTCTTCTAGTATCGGGAAGTTTTGACGCTGACGGTAGATGGATTTTAGGCACCGCGCTTATCTCGCTGTATTTGAACAAGCACTTCATAAATGCATTCAGAATGTTTTAGTCAGCAAGAAATATCCTGTCTCAGTGGAAAGAATGAAGGTTCTGAAGCCACTGGCCGATAACTTCCGAATGCCGTAAGTTCTTTTAATGGTGCAATGGTCTATCCGCTAATGGTGAAACGCTAGGTACTGGGATTGGGCGAAATATCCCTTCATTCCTGCCGAGTTTAAACAGAAAACCATTAAAGTTATTCGAGGAAACGGAGTAGAGGAAGAGCTTCCATTGAACCCGCTGTTTAGTTACAAACACCCTGACCGCCCTGAACCACAGCATCCGAAAGACGGCCATCCAGATGGTTGGGGTACTCTGGAGCGCTTTGAACCCATGTCGGCGCAAACTAGTAGAGCAGATGGTAACTTGCAAAATGTTCTTGCGATAGGAAACACACGCGATAGTAAGCATTATGGAGCGAATTTAAAGCAGGTCACACATATTGTCGAAAGTCACAAGATACTAATGATTCATTTAGTGTGAGAGATCGAACCTTTATCTTACTGAGTCTGGAACAATATCAGGGCGAAACATTTGCTAGTTTCTCGACCAATAGATGGACGCCAAACGGGGTATCATCCGATTATGACTCTCTAGAGGCCATTCATGACTGGTTACATGGAGCAGTTGGTGGAGACATGGGAAGTGTAGCGCGTATGTATTCACTTTGGAATTTTCTATCATGATACCTAGCCTCTGCTAACACTCGAGAAGACGCTGCTTTCGATCCCATATTTATGTTACATCACACTAATGTCGATCGCCTTGGGTAAATTTCCGCTTATACACAGCGATGTGGATGACATGCTAAATATTTACAGCGCCTTGTGGCAAGCACTTCATCCCAAGTTAGCTAAGTCTTGGGAAACTTTCGAGGGAGATTCAAGTACCTTTTGGACCGAAGGTACAAAAGAATCACCCACTACACGTAAGCTTTACCCGTCTGTCTTACAACCTTTCTGACTCTTTAGCTCTCATCCCCTTTCGTAGGGCAAAGGAAGAATATTGGAATACAATCGATACCCGAGATTTTACACGCTTTGGCTACACTTATCCTGAATTGACTGGTTGGAAATCGAACCAAACTGAACAGGAAGCAAAATCACTACGCAATTCTGTCGCAACAAAGGTCCGGAAACTCTATGGGCCCGCGCAAATCTCGCTAGCCAAATCGGCGCCCCAGCCCACCGAGAAATTTCTTCAAAAAATCGTCGAAACATCGCCCGAGGTTGCAGAACTGTCTGTATCCGGCATCCCTGTGGAAGCGATTGCATCGCTCGTTTCGCCGATTGTCACGGCCCCTCAACCTATCATCATCCCGCAGCCTCTCCTCGAACTTGCCGAGACACCCACCCACTCAGAGTACTTTACCAATCTGCGGGCGCCCAAGCACGCATTCGGCGGGTCGTTTGTGGTGCACGTGTTCCTAGGCGCCATCACCACCGACAGCGCAAGCCGCGCCTCGGACCCCAACCTTGTCGGCTCGTGGGCCGTGTTTGCCACCGACGTCAAGAGTACCGGCGGCTGCGCCAATTGCAATGACCAAGCTGCCGAAAGCACGGCTGTAACGGGCTCGGTGCCGCTGACGGGCGCGTTGCTGGAGCGCGGATGGTACGGAAATGATCAGCTCACTGAAGGGTATCTGAAAGACAATTTGAACTGGAGCTTCCATAACGGACCTAACCTCGCGGAAGAGCTGGCTCTAGATCGCTTGGAGGGGATGTTGAAGGTGTTTGTCACAAAAGCGCAGGTTACGAAGCCGACCGACGAAACCGGACTCCCCGTGTATACGGATTGGAATCCAGTGCCGGAGATCACCGAACAGAAGACTACTGGTACAGGACCAAGTGACACTGAGGGCTATAGCACTTGAGGGATCAGCCGTCTATATAGCATGGAAACTTAATGAAATTTAATGAAGTCATAAATATGCAACCCCCAAAGCCACATCGTGAATTCAATCTACTCTAGAGTAGAGTAGAGCGCAAGCCACACACACTCATTACGCCTAGTGTGATTCATAACCGTCTTGGCAGAGAAACTGCGATCAGATCTAACATGACTTGCCGGCCATATAGCTAGTCCGGACTCCGATCCAACTTCATGCCAGACACAGTCCATGCCACAACCAAAAACATTTGTACTCTACATCCAAAAGCCAGTGATTGCTGGAAAGCAAAAAGGAATCTTCCGCCACCGGGAATTGAACCCGGGTCTAGTCGGAACTTCACAATTGAATGTGATGAAAGCGACCAATGCTAGCCACTACACCATGGCGGATGATGTAAGGTACACTACAGTGTACGTATATGTTCTGGCCGAGTCGTCAAGTTGCCGACTTCATGAAGTAGCCGACTCACTGGTCAAGCCAGTCACTTTTCCACTCAGTTGACTGGTCTGTCACGCCAGTCGACTGAGTGGACACTGCGACTGAGTGAGCCCATCCAGCCGACTGGCTTGACAGGTCAGTCAAATGAGTGGAAAGGTTACCGACTTGACAAACCAGTCGACTGAATGGACCGGACCGGCCTTTTGACGGGCAGAGCGCACCTAGTCTTCAATAGCAAGGCCAAGTGATAATTTGCAGTAAATTGGTATTGAATGCAGTAAATTGTATTGTGAAAGTCCTCCGCACTGCATGAATACATGTCTACTATCACGGTCCGGTCTCGTAACTTCGATTCCGGCGGCTCTCAGCACTCATTACTACCTCTATGGCTGCTTCTGTACCACGCCGATTCCAGCCCCTCGTGAAAAATGTATCATTGCTACTAGTAGTTGCTAGAAATTTCCGTACCTTTGCGAGGTAATCAAACAACAATTCTTGGCCAGTGAGAAATTACTGCAATTGTTTCGGTGGAGCATGTTCGCTAGGGGCAGCAACCCAATCGCTTATCTAAGCCCCCCGCCCCCACCACCGCACCAGCATGCAACCTATCCGGCCGATAGATCACAGATCTACTGCACCGGTACCTCTTGCTAGGGTAGCTTCCCTGGTACTTGCACACCGCAGCAGCTCTCAATCTCGCCGATTTTGAATCGCCTAGCACCTGAGCCATGACGCCGGGCTGCATCCTGAGGCGGGGCAGGCTACCGATCGGAGCTGAAAAGCCGGATCCGGGTTGAAGGGCGATTGTGCAGCTGTATTGTACCTGGGCGGGTTTTTGTGGGGGGCGGTGGTTGGTTGGCGGGGTGAGGTGCGGGGTGGATTTTGTTTCAGTTCAGCTCGGTTGGGGGGGGGGGGGGGGGACAGCTTTAATACCCAAGGCTTCTCCCCCATTCCTGCCTTCATTCACGTCCAAGCTCATCCTTATCCCATCTCCATCCCAACCGTATCATCAATACCAGATCACTTATATCGTCAACCAAATCCACAACACATCGCGTTCACCATGCCGACAGCAATCACCAGGTGAGCTCGCCCCTCCCTCGCTTCCTTCACCTGCAAGATACAGCACCTAACGTCCCGTGTCTCCCAACAGCATGGAAGAGTACGAAAAAGCCATGGAAGAGTCCAGGGAAAAGCTCGTCATCATCGACTGCTGGGCCGAGTGGTGTGGTATAGCCGCACCCTCTCCCTCTGTCGCTCCCCGACTAACCGCCGCCAGGTCCCTGCCGCTCCATCGCCCCAGTCTACAGCTCCCTCGCGGCCGACCACCCCGAGGCGGCCTTCTATAAGCTGGATATCGACGCGGCGCCACAAGTCGCGGAAGAGTTGAACGTGCGCAGCATGCCCACGTTCATGTTTTTTAGAGGCGGGAGCTCGGTTGACCAGGTGGTGGGCGCGAATCCGAGGGCGCTTAGGGTGACGATTGAGAAGAACACGACTCCTAGTTGATGACGTGTTGTGTTGTTTATTCATTCATGGTGGATTGTATCGAGAGACACGGTGCATAAGGCGGAGTTGTGTAGAGTAATTATACAGTTTTGCGCATTCAGGTGGTTGAAGGCTGTTAAACACTCACAGCCAATGCGGTGTTGGGTGCCACGATCATGGGTAAATCGTGAAGTTGACAGGAACTATGGCATCGTGAATCTTTCTCCACCAAAACCGTCTCTTGTTCATCTGCCATCCCTCACTATCCCTCAACCCACTCAGGCCCAGCACCTGTCCAATCCCTCGGCGAATATATATCATAGCACAAGCCCCAGACAAAAGCCCAGACTGCCAGATAGCCCATTGAAAGTCTTATCTTTCCCACCAGGTTTTCTTGATCGACCAAGAGGACAGGCAGTTTAATACAGTAATAGAACCGCGTTAAAGGATGCTTTGGGTTGTCGACCTCGTGTTGCCATGGACGGGGCCTTGGTGGTGATAGTTAGTGACGCACCTCCGACTTCTAATCGTGAATACAACGATCGTAACGCGAAGACAAAGAAGAGCGAATTTCTGTGGGCTAGAGTTTCATATATTCAGACTACTATTAGCTAGTTGTACGCTCAAGCGTGTCAATGCAATATGCACCAAACCTGGTATTAGTTAATTAACCTATAGACTGTGTCAAACTAATAAACAAACCAAGTTTGAACCGCCGTCACCTAACTAGAATCCAAATCAACATCAACATCGACCAAGCGCGTCTGTGAATTACACAATCTGGGCCTGTTCCTGCATAGAACACTACAGTTGCCAGATCGGAAGATTTGAGAGTCGACTGCCCTACATGGCCAGAAAGTGGAAGTGTATGCCGATCCCATGGAGGCCGGTTTGCAGTGCACATGGTCGCTCGAGCCGTGAAGTATAGTATTATATGAAGTAATTATATCAAGGTTAGGGCTTTTCCCTGGTGCCAACTTGCCCCCAGTCCCGTGATTCGCTCTTGGGTATATATTCCACGTTCTCGCCCCCGGATTGCTGCTCCTTACCAGATCGTCTCGAGAAAAACTACAACAAAATGTCTGAAACATCAAACGACTACGAAGACTACAAATCGGCGCAGTCCTATATGAGCGAAGAAGAAGAAGAACGAATTTTCGATGAGGCGGAGAAGTCACGTTTAAACAATTTCTTCCTCAAGTATATGCCTCTCTACTATGCGGAGATTCGTGTGGGGCTCACATCTCGTGGGGTGGCGTCATTGCATTTGGTTGAAATAATGGAGCATGGCACATCGCGCGAGAAACAGATAGTTCGTGAGATGGTCAAGTTCTACAGAGAACAGCGAGAAAAGGATAAAGAAGAGCTTGAGATGTTCTGGGAGACGCGCGGGAATGATACTTGGAAGAGTTTCTCTAGCTTCTAGTGCAAAAACTTCAAAGTTTAGGTCTCATTGAGAGACATTTAGCAAGAGCGCGTGGCGGAGTACAGTTCAATGTTTGATGGTGGATGTAGTCGTAGATAGTACTGCGTGTGATATGTAGGTGGAAGAGGGTCAGTCGGTCATTGTGCTAGATCTGCATAGCGGTTAAGAGTTTTGGGATAGAATCTAGATATAAGAGAAATATTATAAAAGAAACGGGTTGTTCATAAAATATACGGGTTATGCCCAAAATGACCCTCTATCCACTATCAATAAATAGTGACCGCCTTATCAATAAATAGTGACCGCCCTATCAATACATAGTGGCCGCTCTATCACTAAATAATGTCACTAAACTTGGTTCCCAGGTGATCCCCTATTAATGCAAAACAATTAACGTGCAATTACCAGTGTACAAAACCCAAGGCCAGCCAATTCGTGAGCCTTGTGACTTTCCCTCAGTCCCGTGATGCGGTGCAACTTGCCTCTCTCATAGGGTATATGTTCTGACCGATACACCAAGGATTTCCGTAGGCCTTCAGGTCGACCCATAGGCCTACAGTTCGATTTGCGGTACCGGTCGACCAGTTGGCCTATGGGTTGACCCGTACGCCAAATAGCTCGCTTTACCTAGCACGCCGCGCATCCCACCATGAATACTGCTGCTGTACTGCACGATCTTGACAGTTTCTACGCACCAGATCAATGCCTTTTCTGGCACGATTTTGACGCGACTCAAGAACTCGACACGTCCAGACAGTTTATACAACTTGTACAAAAGCGGGCAGTGGTGCGGTGACGCACGGGTTTAGTTTGGTAAATGTAAAATCCTACAGTAACATTGAATGCTTCTATATGCTTTGAACGTTTGCAATCTGTGCGGCCAACAGCAAATTTGTCTTGCTGATGTACTGTATTTATAAACCGCGCGCCGGAGTACACCTAGTATCAGACAATTGACGTATCTATGTAAAAACAACAGCTTCTGCTCGTGCGAAGACTAAGTCTACACCTAAAAGCTGCATTAGGTATCGTTATATTATGTGCCCAGATGGTCCTTGGCCAACCGGTCAATTGGCCAATCGGTTGACCGGTTCGCCAACCGGTCGACCTGTAGGCCTACAGAAATCCTTGGTGTATCGGTCGGAACATATATATTCCCCCGGATTGCTGCTCCTTACCAAATCTTTTCGAGAAAAACTACTACAAAATGTCCAAAGAATCACATGTCACCTGCGACGAATCACCAAATTCCGACCAATGGTCTCCCACTCAGACGGAGAAGTCACGTTTAGACAATTTCTACCTCGTGCATATACGTGGCTTTTTTATGGAGGGGGCTGCGGGGATCGCATTTCAGGGGGAGGAGACATCGTGTTTAATTAAAAGAATGTCACCGCACGAGAGGCGGACAGCCGTGGCGATGATGAAGTACTACGCAGACAAGCGGAGCAACGAACTGAAAGTGCGGGAAAATCAAGTGAAAGAGTTTAAAAGAACACTAGAAATCCCGCAGATAAACGACAACCAGCAGCGAGATGGGTTACATTTTCCGGATATTAGAAACGAAATGATGGGCCCGGGGCAGAGAGCTAGAGCTAGACAAGAGCTTGAGATGTTCTGGGAGAAGCACCGGCATTAACGGCCATAGAAATCGGAATGAGGTTGATCTTCTGGTGCAAAAACTTCAAAGTTTAGGTCTCATTGAGAGACATTTAGCAAGAGCGCGTGGTGGAGCCTAGTTCAATGTTTGAGGGTGCCTGTAGTCTGAGATATTGCATGTGATAGCGGCAGAAGAGAGTGGGTCGGTTATTGTACTAGTTCTGTATAGCGTTTAATATATAAGAGTTTCGGGAGAGGTATAACAGAAATATTGCAAAAGAAACCGGTTATTCATAAAATACGACCCCTTGAAATGCCGGACGTGATGCACACAATCAGTCGACCCTGTTAACGATAAATACAGACGATTACCTCGTAGATGTGATATTTAAACTCATGTAGACCTGAACAGTGCTAAATTTGCACATGGCAGTTGTT